AACCTATAAACTCACTGTCTAAAGATATAGTTATAACTCTAGATCAAGGGGTCACCAACTTTTTGAAACTGAGAGCTACTTCATGGGTACTGAGTCATACGAAGGGCTACCAGTTTGATACACAAATTTTTCAAAGTTTGGCCCTTTAGTTATATATGATTATTAATGATTAATGATCCTCATCTATGTGAAGACACTGATCACGTTCATTTCTCACAATAATTATCAACAATGACTTAAGGTGGGGAAACAGATAATATCAATATTCAACACCCCTTTATTTCTATTAATCTCAGCAATTGGTTAAATTTCATAGAAAAAATGTCCCATTTCACTAGCCCACTAACAAACACATTTTAACAAATTATGAACTATGTTGCACCAATGTGGCACCAAACTATGTTTGAACAAGTTATCAATTGTGTAATGTTTAAAACAATCAACTTTCATGATTTTTAAATAAATCTTTATCACATTTTTAACTAATTACCAAATCTGCGTCATTTTTAACAAAATTATAATCTGTTAATTTCATGAAAACACCACTGTTGAACACTGTTTCAACATTTTAAATTCACTTTTCATAGCAACTGCCATGTTGCCACTGACAACATCCTGGTATCTGTTTCTTTCTTTAGTGGGAAGGACTGGCATTGCATGCTGTTCACCAGTTGTTATTTGTAATCTGGTGTGTAAACTTGACACTTGCAACTCCTGAGTGAAAGTCCTGCAGATGTGCATCAGTGGAGGCGTGTTCTGTGTTTGTTCTTGATGAAGTTCATATCAGAAAACCGCTGAATTCACATCGATTAGGTTGAACCCCAAACAGGCTGGCCAACCTTCCTTGCTGCTGTGCATACACCACTGTACTTTTCCTGTGGTCAACAAGGCAACCAAAAAGTTTGTCCAAATGGTAAACCTTTTCTGCACGAAAAAACTCCTTCACTGCATTATAAAATGTCAACTCCCTCGTAGTTGTCTTTAGGGGCAGTAGTGTCAGGAGTTTCTTCTTTTGTGGAGAAATCATCAAACACCATCCGGATAAAGACCAACACCTGCCGGCTGTACTGCTGAGCTGTCCAACGGACTCGTCGCACTGGATGCTAAACCGACCTGCAGTTCACCCAAATCCCGGGTCCAGCTGATCGGCCAAGTTACGGACATAACCGACACTCGTCTAGCCATCGTAGATGCCCCCAGTTGATATCGGATGCCCCCCCCAGTTGGACATCGGAGTTGTCCCCCCCAGTTGTCCCGCCACGGACGCTGAAAGTTTTGTCCCATGCGCACAATACTTGACTTTGACCTTTCCAACTTCACAACTTGTAAGTTGTGCTTTTTTTTAGAAGCAGGCATGCGGGCCGACTTATGTGGTCCTTGCGGGCCGACCTGGTGCCCGCGGGCACCGTTGTTGGTGACCCCTGCTCTAGATGGCATTACTTTGGCTCTAGCACCACTGTCAGGAATCTTGGAGTTATCATTTGATCAGGACATGTATTTAATTTTTCCCCCCCTTAACCAAAAAAAAAATAAAAAAAGCAAAAAACTCATAGGACTGCTTCTTACATTTAAATGTAAATTTACAAAAATTGTAGACACAATCTATCCAGAGAGGTGCAGAAAACTAATCCATGCATTTGTTACTTCTAGGCTGGATTACTGCAACTCCTTATTATCAGGCCTGCCCCCAATAAGGTCATTAAAGACGCCTACTAATTACCATTTACAATTACAATTATTGAACCATCCCTTAGTTATGCTGCATAAGGCCCTAGACTAATCAGGGAAAATTTTTCCATGGTGCCTGAGCTCCTCTCCTTGCCTCTCTTCTCTCCTTTCTGCCACTCCATTCATGTCCCATTAATGCATGTTACTAACTTTATTTCCCCGGAGTTCTTTGTGCTTTCTCCGTCTCACCAGGTTCTCATGGATCCTGGTGGAGCCTCCTGCCATGGTCCTGCTTGACTGCAATTGCTAATATTACTGATATTATTGTTATTATTATTATTATTAGTAATTATTGATTACTACAGTTTCTATTATCACTGCTCATTGTCCCCCCCACTCGTGGCTGTCCGTCGTCCATCATCTTCTTCATGTTCATCCATCATCATTCTTACTATTAATGTAGTTGTTGCTACTGTGGTTGCTGTCACCTGTCTGTCTGTCTCTGTCTCTCTCATCTGTCTGTCTCTTTCTCTCCACTAACTGGTCGAGGCCCAGACGACCACCGCACCTAGAGCGCGAAGGGTCTGTCCCCCTAAGGTTCTGCCTCTTAAAAGGGCAGTTTTTCCCCTTTTTGCCCGCCCGTCACCCTTAAAGTGCTTGCCTTCATGGTGGTACTGTTTGGGTCTCCTGTAAATATTTTGGGGCCAAGTATAAGAATTTCGGTTTTTTCTGAGTTTAACATCAGAAAATTGCAGCTCATCCAGGATTTTATGTCCTGAAGACATGTTTGTTAATGTTTTCTCTTTTTCTGTGTGGTGCAGCAACATGTGTTCAAGACACTGGAGAATGATCCTCTGTTCGCCCGTCAGCCCGGTGAAGACATCCCTTTAGAGAAAATGAGAGAGCTGACCTTCCTCAGGTATCAACAGAAAGTTTCACCTTTTGTATCCGCTGTGAATTCACTCATACAGCACAATTCAATTATTTTATCACCAGTAACCTGTGTACTTAGAAAATAAAGCTTGAGATAAAAATCTCCAGGGCAAAGCAGCTCTTCCGCTATGACTTCATCACAAAAGAAGAGGCCATGGTCAACCCCTGGAAGACTGTGGTCCTTAGTGATTGCCTGGGCATGTATGACTGGGCCCTTGGGGCCAAGTTCTTTCTCAACAAAGGGGTAAGTGTGCACTGGGAGCTGTGGTGTGAGAGTACTTGTTCCTATCCAGCAATGACATGCATGATAGAAGTCCTTAATTGACTGGTCGCTGGCTAGTGCCTGTAGTTGGCCCATTAGTTGGCTCATTCCAGTGTGCGGCTAATCCTCCAACCTACAAAACAGGTCATTTGTAGTTTGGAATGACCCATGCCACCATCATAGCTTATCTCCACTTTACTCATTGTTCCATCCCAGCAAAAGATGTTAAAAATCTCTTCTGTTTCAGATGTTTGGAGTGACTGTTGCCAACTCAGGATCAGGAAGACACAACAAATATGTTGAAAACACTGACGACATGACGGTAAGAGTTCAGCCATAGACTGTATAATTTAAAATGGACGTAGTCTCATCACACATATGTTTCTGAGGGGCATTGGGAAACTCACTGTGGTCAGCTCTGGCAAAGAGGTGCAGTGTGGGTGGCACTGAGGCCGGTTGAATGAAGCCTGGTTACTGAAAACAGCCGCCTGTGACACCACCCACCTGTCACTTGAAGCGTCCACGCCCTTTATTATGCATACCTTTAGGTCTTAATTTAATTGAAAGAGTTGAGTTATATTAAAATTAACCCCCTGTACGCTTATCATGGGCCAGCCTGATTTGAACAGCTTGTTTTGTTACTTCTGTGATGGCTTCATTTGCAGTTTCTTGATCAAAACCAACTTTTGTAATATCGCCAACCCCGAAAAATAATGACCTCATCGGCTTTCCATAGACGGAGGTTGCTGCTTGAGTTGAACATAGTGTTAGACTTTAGACCCCACTTTACAGTTGTATCAGTGATTTATTTATGGCTGTCTAACTACAGAGTAGTGAGGGTCTATAGTGATGTAATCACTTCCTGCCCTTTTAGATATATATGATGCAGGTCCTGAATGATGTCCAGTCTTTGGATTCTTTTGGATTTAGTTATTTTCTCCAAAACTACCCTGAAAACGTTCAGGGATAAATAGTTGGTCAGATGATATTTGTGATTACAATCTTTGCTTCCACAATTAATCTTGAAGTGTGATAATGTTACTTTCCTGCTCCAAATCAAGCATTCCAAAATGCAAAAAAAATTGATAACTTAAATCAGCTAAAATGACTGCTCCACAGATCTACACAGAGCTGTTAGTGCAGACTATTGCTGCTAAAAATGTGAAATGTTTTCACACAGTCAGCAGGCCATCATGAACTTGAATCTGCATCTGTTTGTAGACGTTCGGATGCTTTGCCTTGACTGAGGTGAGCCACGGCAGCAACACCAGAGCTATGAGGACCACAGCAACACATGACCCCTCCACCCAGGTCAGCACACACACTCCACAACAAAATATGTTTGTAATGGATGTTAAATGGCAATATATTTGGCTCATGACAGCAGAAATGTATGTAAGGATGTACCGGTAATTTCTATTAATGTCATGTTTTTGCATTGCTAGTTTAAATTTGCCAGCTTGCCAACAAGGTGATAATACCTTTGAGAACACCAAAGCAATTTCTTTTTTTTGTGAACTTCGGGGGTTTTAACATTAAAGCTGGTTGCCGGTTTAGACTCAGTATCTATAATATGTATAATATTTTTTGGACGTTATATTTAGATGTGGCAGGTGATGGATTATAAATAACAACAAAGTTCACTTATAGAAGAGGTTGGGATGAATGGATGGGTCAGACAAACACAGAAGAATGTGTGAAACCAAGAGTCAACTTTCTTTTAACTTCTGTTACACACTTATTTTAACCCAAACTGCGATCTTTTCCTAAACCTAACCAAAGTGTGACCGTTTAAACTCCTAAAATGTAAAATGTTTCTCAGCAAGCTTACATATTAATCATTGAGCCACTGAGAGTAAGAATGTGTTGCTTAAGCCCTAATTGCACATGACTACAGTTACCATTGGACCTTGTGATTTAGAACCCCACCCCCCCACGTCTGTGTTTCATGCGGTGAATTTACACAGGATAAGAGTCTGTATTTTACTCAAGTCACAGAGATGCCAGTTCACACAGGACTAATATCACAGGACCTTGAAATATAGTAGGATCATTTGCAGTGGAAGTTATGAATTACAGACATGGCAGATTTGCATCATCACAGACGTCCTTAGCAATTATTAATTCAATTAAATTCAGTTTTATTTGTATAGCGCCAATTGATAACAGAAGTTATCTCTGGACACTTTTCAAATAGAGCAGGTCTAGACCGAACTCCTTTTAACAATTACAGAGACCCAAGAGTACCACCATGAGCAAGCAGTTGGCGACGGGGCAAGGAAAAACTGTCTGGCTCTAGGTGGGTGGTCATCTGCCTTGACCAGTTGGGGGAGAAAGAGAGAGAGAGAGAGAGAGAGAGAGAGAGAGAGAGGAGAGAGAGAGAGAGA